CTAGTCCCTTAAAGGAATCTTTGAAACAACATGCTTCATCTCAGTCAATAGATGTGATAATTGAAAACCAGAGACAGTAGGAAATATACATTTTTAGGTCTAAGGATAAAGGCACTTAATTATGCATTAACAGGTACCAACATAATATTATGTAGGTTCTCAAATTTATATTTCTAAAACTTCAAGAATATACTAATAATTCTAATCACTAATAAATATCTATCACTTCCATGTTCTTGGCATTCTAAATATCATCCTTTTTTAGGGTTCAGATACATGGAAAACTTAGCCATACTTTCCATTTCACCCACATTAAGAAGTCCATGCAACAGCCCTCTCTAGGGTTTGATCCTCGGTCCCGCATGCTGCCTGCTCACTGAGCCGGCAACCACGTCTGGGCATGGTAGTGCATGCTTGTAATCCCTGTGCTGGAGAGGTTGAAAACAGAAGGATCACTATGAGTCCGAGCTGCATAGTGAGACCCTGTATGAAACACATAAAATGAACAAAAAAAAAAAAGGAGCCTTCTCTTACTGTTTTCATATTTTTCCTCTGATCCTTCATTCCTTACCCCCTTGCCATCCTCTACTTGCTCCTACCTAGGTACCTACCCAATTCTAAACAATAAATTTCCTTTGAAATATATATTTATATGTGTTCTTAAGAAGTATTTGTGCTGTTTTCAGAGTAACATGCAAAATATTTAATGTATGGCCAATAAGAAAAAAGAAAAAAAAAAACCTGAATGAAAACAATGAAATAAGTCCCAGGCTAGAAGAGGAACAAGGAATTATATAAAAGAAGCAAGGAAAAATAGGCAAGTATTAAAATACTCTCAACCAGTAGATTGGGAGCCCTAGACACTGTACCTGCTATATTCAATGGTAAGTTATCCCCGCAATTTTCCCTTAATTCTCAATTCCAGCACCACAATCAACAACCAAAATACCTAATTATTCAGAGAGTAATCCATAACATGAATAAAGAACACCACTTTATAAGAAGACCCACACTGGAAATACATCCTTCTAAGGAAAAAGATAAATCCTTCAAGATGCCTTTATATTTTTAATAATACAGTACTGGCAACTAGTAGCAACGAGGCAGAAGCTGTAATATGAAAAATCTCCCAAGTTAGTCTGTAAAACTATGAGGCATCACTGATGTAAAAATCAAGACAAGCTATTTTTCTGATGCTTCACTGTGACAAGCTGAAACAACTTGGGTGCCAAAAAATTCCAACTTATCTAGGCACGATGGTGCACACCTGTAATCTCAGCACTCAAGAGGCTGAGGCAGAAAGATCACTGTGAGTTTGAGGCTAGCTTGGGCTATATAGTGAGTTTAAGACCAGCCTGAATTACAGAATGAGATCCTGTCATAAAGAGAGAAAAAACATTCCAATTTACACTTCTTTGATGATTAACCCCAAATCACCATCACCTTTCAATATACAACGTTTAAGTAACCAGAAGAATTTCAATTCTGTTAAAGGTGCAGTCAAGCATCCAGAGGGGTACATGTTTAATCTGCTTTACTAACAACTCAACATTCATTTTCCCCTTATTAATGGATGGAAAAGCAATTTCCCTGCCAAGGAGGGGTAGCTATCAGAAATGTAGATGTGTTGCAATTCACAGCTCGAAGCAGCTCAGCTGGAAGGAGTAATGCTTCCAGAAGGTAGATCAATTATTTACTGAATCAAAAACATCAGGTCTGGTTTTTAAAATATCACGCATATTGCAGGGTGAGGATTGTCTCCTTCTGACTCGGATTTCAAATGGAATGAAA